CATGTTTGGGTTGCCTGCTCAGTCCTCAGTAGGGAGCATGCAGGAGGCAGCTGATCAATGATTATCTCTCATCATTGATGTTTCTCTCTCTCTCCTTCTCCCTTCTCTCTGAAATCAATAAAAATATATTTTAAAAAATAAAAAGAGCTTATGAAGGTAATACAACTTAAAGCATTTTGAGCTGGCCAGGCAGGAGCTGAAGCACTGCCCAATAATAATAAAGGAAGCTCTGGCCAGTGTGGCTCAGTTGGTTGGAGTGTCATCCTGTACACGGAAAGATGATGGGTTTGATTCCCAGTCAGGCACATATACAGGTTGCAGGTTCAAGCCCCAATTGGAGTGTGTGCAGGAGGCAACAGACTAATGTTTCTCTCTTACATCGATGTTTATCTCCCTCCCTCTCTCTAAAACCAATAATAATAATAATAATAATGAAAAGTTTACCTGCATCCCCCCCCCAAAAAATCTCAAGAAAAGCATCTAATAATATTAAAAATGGTGCAAAAAAAATGACCATAAGTATATTTAAATATAAGTTTAGAAACTCATACCTGCCAGGAGGTCTGGCTTGGAAAAATCTAGATTATTTTGGGCAATCTATGTTCGTTTTGTAAAAGATACATACAAGTGAATACTTTTTAAAAGCAACCACAGCTTTCTGAAAAACTCAGCTGTCCATAGATGAAACTTGCTCTCCCTCCTCCCAAGCTTGAAATATAAGGTACCCAGAAGACTCATACTTCCTTTCTACCCATTTCAAGACAATACCATTCTCCAGTTTTCTGTTACCAAAAACATGGATTCGCACTCCCCCACACCAAGTGAAGAATACGTCGTCTTTAGCCACTTAAATGTATTTTTAGGACAATCACAAGGATTTATTCGTGTGGTCCTGAGTCACTAGCTTTGATGCAACTGGAACAGAAGTGATGTGGGCCCAGTAGCAAGCTCAGGTCAACCTAAAAAGCGACGCCACCCAGGAATCCAGACTGTTCAAAGGTACACACACAATTAACACACACTTAAGTATAAAGTCACCACTGCTTTTTATTCTGATATTATAACCCTTCTAATTCTACTTGGTATTAAAATATCCTTTCCTTTTATAATAGTATGGTCATAGCAGGTGATGTTCTTTTTGCTTTTTAATTAAACAACCTTACTGAGTCAAATGATGTCAAGGACACTCAGTTCCCCCAACTTAATTATATGAATTTTACTTTGTGAAATCCCCAAATCTGGAAACAATTAGAGCATTGGTTCTGCCCCCCGCCCCCCGCAATGCCTGGATACATTTGGTTGTCACATACATTTGGGGAGGAGGAGTCACTATTGGCATGTAATGGGTGAAGGCCAGGGATGCCGCTTGACACCCTCAAGGGCATAGCAGGGCCCCAAATGTCAATAGTGCTGAGGTTGAGAAACCCTGAATTAGTCTAGTTGATGGCCCTAATAATTCTTAATTCAGTCAACCAACACATATCGGGCACCTACTATGTGCCAAGCATTATGCCAAAAGTTGGGGATAAAACAGGAGTCAAGCTGGCGAGAGGGCAAGCTAGTCTTTGGTTCACCACCCTGTTTCCGGGGCCTGCTAGGTACTAGAAACCCCCATCCTGAGACACTGGGTGGAGCAAGACAGGTCTTCACCTTGTATATCCAGCAGGATGAGAAGGCGGGAGTCCCAGCTCCTGACAATCCCCACCATCCAGGCCCCTTACCTAGACCTGCCCTGACCATCGGACGCAACTGTTAGGGTCTCCGAGCCCATGTGACCCCGGGCCTCAGTTTCCCCACCCGGCCAGAGGGTGGCTGCAGGGTCCAACTTGCTCAGGGGACACAAACGCCACCTGCAGAGCTGGCCCCATTCGCCTCCCTGGGTCTCAGTTTCCCCTCCTGGCCACAATGACCCGTCACCGCAGAGGGCCCCGGAGGAGTGAACTTAACGCAAAAACACGGGGGGAAACGGTCGCTGCTGCAACAATAACCTCAAGGAGAGCGCCCTTTGGATGGCAAGGCCCTTCATCGGGATCGTAACGACCCACCGGGCGAACATCAGGCTCAAAGAAGCGGCCTGGGGCCGGGAGGCCCGTCTGTCCCCAACCACTGAATCGGCCCAAGAGGGCCGCTCACTGCACCCCACGACCCCGCAGCGCGGCCCACACAGACCTGCGGCCGCTGCCCCGGCGTCCGCAAGATGGCGTCACGTGAGGTCCCGCCTCGGGAAATGAGGAGCGCAGGAAGTATCCTCGCGAGATCCGTGGCTTCCATTCCTCCCATAGCTCCCCTATTGATATTCCCGCGGAGAAGCGGGCTTTCTCTGGGCGGCCCGTGGGAAGAAGGTGTTCTGCGATTGGGGGTGGGAGGTGTCAAGCCAAGAGATCGACACTGTGATTGGCTAAGTGCGTGGGACTGGTCCATAGGAAGAGGGAGGTCCAAGGCTTTTACGTCATGACGAAACGTTTTACGTAGGGTGCAGGTGACAACCCGAAACTGCAATTTTAGGTGAAGATTGAAGTTTTGAGTTTATTCTATTTGGACATCGGCTGAATCAACACCAATAAAGTCTGCAAATTACTGCTCCCCGGTGATTCAATTCCCAGTCAGGGCACATGCCGGGGTTGCGGGCTCGATCCCCAGTAGGGGGCGTGCAGGAGGCAGCCTATCCCATCCATTTTTCTATCTCTATCCCTCTCACTTCCTGTCTAAAAATTAATAAAAACACATTTTAAAAAAAGATTATAAATTACTTTTTATATGAACAAAAATAAAATAAAATCTGGGCAGCATTTGATATGCACTAAACATATTCAGAGGGAATGAATGAAATAGATGTTTCTGGTTTAATCCTCAGGGTTTTTGCACACGCTGTTTCTTGCCTAGAAAACTCTTCCCACAGCTCTTTTCCTGGCTAATTTCCACCCAACTTTCAGATCTTAGATTGGCACCCCAACAAGAAGTGCCTACAACTTTTTTTTTTTTAATATGGAACGCTTCAAGAATTTGCGTGTCATCCTTGCGAAGAGGCCATGCTAATCTCTGTATCGTTCCAATTTTAATATATGTGCTGCCGAAGCAAGAACAACTTTTTTAAAAAGCAATTATAGCTAATTATATTCTGGCAGTATGCAATGATTTAGGCCAGTGGGTCAACGTTGAGGCTGCCCATCATAATCACCCGGGTGTTCTTTCAAACCATTCATAATAACCCCTTCAGGATCTTCAGGAGGGAGGTTGGGGCTTGCACACCCCGAAACAATCCTCTAATCTAGTCCAGTACCTTCTGTTTAGGCATTTGGAAACTTCCAGTAACCTTCTGCTGCAGAAAATTACCCAAATCTGTCAGAGATTTCAGCACTGGAGCTGCAAGCACTTTAGCTCTAGTCACTTTCTTGTTCCTCTTTTTGGATTCATTTACTCATTCTGACTCATTATTAATTTCCAACTTATTCAATACACTTTCTGTTTTAAATTTAAATATTTTTGTTAATCCTCACCCGAGGATTGACAAGAATATTTTCCATTGATTTTTAGAGAGAAGTAGAAGGGAGAGGGAGAGACAGAGAGAGAGAGAAACGTGGATGTGAGAGAGACACATCAGTTGGTTACCTTACACATGTACCAACAGGGGCTGGGGATCCAGCCTGCAACTGAGGTACCTGCCCTTGACAGGAATGGAACCCAGGACCCTTCAGTCAGCAGGCAGATGCTCTAATTACTGAGCCAAACTGGCTAGGGCTCAATATATTTTCATCAATAAGAATTGATTTTAAGTCATTATCAATATGCCCTGGACAGTGTGTCCAGTGGTTAGAGCATCCACCCATGCATGGAAGGGTCACCGGTAGGATACTGGGACAAGGGCATGTACCTGGGTTGGGAATTCACTCCCTGCCCCCAGGAGGCAACCAATCGAAGTGTCTCTTTCACACCAATATTCTCTCTCTTTCTCTCACCCTCCCTCCCTTTGCACTCTCTCTCTCTGAAAAGCAATGAAAAAGAAATATCCTCAGGTGAGGTTTTTTAAAAGAAAGTCACTATCAATAAACATGTTGAATCCAGGAAGGCTTCCCGGAAGAGGCGATATTCCAAGCAAATTCTTCTTTTATACACAAAACAATGGGGGGAAATATTAGGGAAGAATGTGAAAGATAGGAACATTAGCAAAGGACCACAGGCAACAGGTATCCTGGACTACAGAAGAGGAAGAGAGCCCCCGAAATCAGAGGGTGGAGGGGGCCAAATTATGCAAGCTTTGTAGGCTATAGCAGGAAGTTGGGAGTGTATTCTGAGGGCAGTAGGTGAGCTTTAAACGGGGAACCGTGATCTGAATCCTGTTACAAAAGCATCTTTTTGGCCTCCTGATAGGGGATAAATTGGAGGGGAGAGCCCGCAGGTGGACACAAAAGAGCGTAAGTTGGTGAGATGGTTTGGTCAGGGCGGAGGACAGTGGGGATAGTGGAAAGGAGATAGAAGCGACACCCTGATGACTGACTTGGGCAACTGATTGGATGAACACGGGGCAGTGTTCTGGGTAGGATGGTAAGGACTAAACGACCCGCATGGTGGAATTAGGTATAGCTGAGATTAGTAAACAGTTAGCTGGAGATTTGTAAACCCAGTCTCCCAACCGCTCCAGAAAGGTTTAAGCGCCTTTCCCAAGGCATTAGATAGAACCACCTCCCAGCTTCTAGGGGTCGCTACAGCCGCCCTGGCCGCTCTAGACTCTCCCCAGGCCACTCGCTGGCAGAAGCGGTCCCTCCCGAGACAGGCGAAGCGCGCGTGCGCCGTCCGGCTGGCAGGGCGCGCGCGCG